TGTTGACTTTATTTCACGTTCAGTAATTGCGAGGGTCTTGTTTTTATTTACTTTCCTTTTTTATTGAGGCCGACAAGGGCATTCAAGGTCAATTTTTTCGTTCCCAGTTTTCGTCGTTTTAATCCAACATGGCGGTTGTTGCAGCTGCATAACCGGGTTTTTTTTTTTCGCTGACCTATTCCAAGGGACTCAAGGTGAGGACCTGATGGAACGAATATTATCACTATGAAGAATATCAAACGGGTTGACTTGTATCCAGGATTTCTTGTCCTGCGTGAAAGGTTTGAACAGATGAAATTGCCAACCCGTTTGTCGCTGTTTCCCTGCTGTTTCCTTACGTGACCAAGCACTTTTAACACGTATTTGTTACACCTGTTTTCTAAATCTTTTTTTAGGTGTTTAGTGAGAAAGTAATAAGTGAGCAATGCGTCCTAGTTTTCTCTTATTTGGGAGCTATTTTGAGAGTTTGCAAATTATGGCATTCGAGGTTATGTTATGCCTTATCATGTTCCAGGGTTTTCGTATCAGATAGCGACAGTATGTCAACTTCCTAATTTTCGCTGAGTCATCTAGTGCTCAAGGTTATTCAAGGTCAAGAAATCTACAGTCTTATGCCGAGCTTCCTTCTTCGTTTCATTAGAACCATCTAGCTCTGCACTGCACGTTGCTCTGACTAGTTAATAATAATTGACACGTAACTTGGGATATCCTATTCCTAGATCAGAAATTGAAAGTAAATTTTGCCTCTCGAAGGATCGATCATGTTTTTGATGTTGGCTGTTTCTTCGCTGGTGGCCGTTGTTGTGTTGTTGACAATAGCAGTGCTTTCAAAGTATCAAGCTTTTGCTGTTGTGAGGAAGATTCCTGGTCCAAGACCCAACATTTTATTTGGCAATGCTATGCAGTTGCCGAGTACTCCTGACGGTAAGTGAAAGACTTTTATCGAGTGCAGCTGCATTGCCGAATCAGTTCATATAGGCAAATCTTTGCTGACGTCATTGTTTACATTTTTCCCAGATTTTTCCTCATTAACATACGACTTTGCGCATAGAAGGCATCATGCTAGACACGATCTTACTAGTAAAACTTAAAGAGCTTGTGAAACTTAGTAAGTGGTAAAATGTTTGGCTCTTTGGGTGTATTATATTCGAGGAGAAATTGGCTTTCAAAAACATCAAAATTTCTGTGTGGCAAAAGCACTAATGAGCTCATATAGTCTAAAATTTTGAGCTTTTAAACTCGCTAGTCGCACAAAAAAGTATTCAATACATCGCGCTCAAATTCCTTGGGACAGTTAATCGTGTTGTGCCCTTTCAATATTCAGTGTTAATCTCTTTGTAGCTCCATCAGAAACTGTATCGCTTATGGTAATGTGGCAAATATTGTAAACAAAGATTGTCCTATACGTAAATTGAATGGGCACATGAATGTTGTAGGCCAAATAATTTCACACTTAGGATGCAATCCTTTGGGTAGATCTGGATCAGGATCAGCGATCCAAGATCACTAAGATCATTGTGCGTCAAATGAACCGGATGAATCTGTGACCAGGGTGGATACGTCAATTCCTTGGCTGAATGACTACCATGGTCTGCCTCAGCTTACTGTAGATCACTAATCCTGATCCTGGACACCCCAAAGGAATGCACCCTTATTGTGTGACTGAGAAAATTGCTCCACTGTGAGTAGCTGAGAGCAGGCCAATTTATCATTAACTTTTAGCTTGCACTGCAGTGCAAATTGATTTGCCCATACATATTTCCTCAGTCAAATAATAAACAAGTGATCATATGAAAGCTCGAGTAATTAAGAATTTACGCTACTAATTTGATATTTGAAAATTCTTTCAAATTGTACTCACCTAAAGGCTTGTGCACTTTTGAGAGGATTCTCAAATAACTCTCGTCACAGTGTAAATCCTCGATTCAGCACTAATGCATTCACATGATTACCCATATACTAATCAGTTTTTGATCTTGTTGATAAATTATGTTTGAACCAGCTGAAGGTAACTTCCTAACTGCCAAATGAATCAAAATAAGCGTGGTAGGCAAGAAATACTGTAACGTTACTTTACTATAGATAAGACAAATAAAAAAAAAAAAAAA